GGGCATCTTTCTGATTATTGCTGATGAGTTTCTCTTTTGCAGTGACCTCAATGGTTTGTAAAGGGACAATTCTTGAGCACGAGGAATCGAGTTTGGATTAAGGAAAGTTGAGTGAGATTTGACTGTGCGATGAAAGATCCAATGGATGGCTGCTTTATTTCTCTACAAGTGCCTTGTTGTTAAGACCCTAACTGGCACAGGCAGAAATTAGGATGACAAGTGAAGAGCCTCATCAGGCTCAGATAATTGAGTCCCTCTAAAACCTCCAAAAGCTCCTCAACAATTATCTCCATTTTTTGACAAAACTCCAACTAATCACAGAACAAGCACTCTGAACTATAAAAAAAAAAAAAATATCGCCCTCTTAACCTTGCTGGTCCTTCTTAATCATAAAACAGCTATATCATAGTGGGGATAGGAATTCGGTGGTGTCCATGATTGATTCTAAATTTTGTTATATAGACAGAATCGCACAGATGCACACATATAGCTGGTTCAAAAGAACTTCTATCTTATTTACACAAAGAAGATACCCATCGTTACTGCAAGACTTGGAACTCAGTATGGGTGGGCCCATACAAACTCAGACCTTTAGAGCCTCAGCATATGGTGGATATGAGGTACCCCAAGTATATGGAACATCTTCCAAGTTGACACATTCAGTGGAAAAAATAAAATAAAAATTAAAACAAGCCCTTGTTTAGCTAACCCAGCAAGTTTGAGCATTCTAAGAAACTATAGGTGGTGAAGAATTTCATCAAAGAGTTTGTATGCATCGATGGTTTTTTAAAAAACTGAGTGTAATGGACAAGGGAGCTGTGCACCAAGGAGGGTCCAGTTAGAAACCATATTTTACGATTTGGTTATGGAGAGATTGTCATTTGATAGAGAGAAAAGGTGGGCATAGCCCTTGAGAGAGAAAAGAATTGAGAAGTGGTCAGCGACCATTCGGTTGAAGAAGGAGAGACTCCTTTGATGTTTTGGAGTTGGAGAATGCTCTGATCATGGTCTTGAACATGGAGGGAGTTGGGTGTGGACAATGTCGAAGAGGAGGCTCGAATGCAATAGAGACGGTGGGTAAGGAGAAAGTGCAGAGAGATAGGGCTTTGCCCATGGAGAGTGGGTTCTGTTTTCTATCTCTTCAAAGTTTTAGAGAGAGGGTGAGAGGAAAATGGGGCAATGACCAGCTTCCCTCTTGATTTGGGTGTCACATATGCAGCATCCACATAAGTGCCCATAGATGCAACCTTACCTGAACAAATAAGGCGGTAGCCTAATCGAAATTGCACCCATCATGAACTATTCAATTACAAATATAATTGGATTTGTTTCCGCTTAGTATGATTCCAAACTTGATCTAATGGCGTGATAAGTCCGAGAAAATTTGGAATAGATCATTTGTCAGTTAAAGAATGTCACCAAAAGCAAAAGATGGAGGCCATTGATACTCTAGAGGATGTGAGCGTTGAAGTGAAGCATATGCAAAAACGTCGAATTCTACTGCTTTACCAGGATCATTTTTTATGAGAAGTAGTCAAATTCTAAATTATCAACGAAAGAATTTACTCAGACATCTTGGCATTTTTTACTGTAAATCCAGTTTCAATCCATGTATTCCCTAACCAATTTCTTTTTGTTCTTAATGAGTGATTGCTTGTAAGCAATTTCCGAGACCAAAAAAAACTCGCTCAGCAATATCTCTGAGTCAATCAGTTGAGTTTATGTAACTCCCATTAAATTCAAGGTGTAGTAAACTCCTTTCGTTGTTCAGTCGTTTTAGTTTCGGGCTTCACACAGTCCAGGAAGTGTACTACCTTTAGTGATCAATTTCCTGTTGGAGAAGACACTTTGAGCAAAGCGCTCTCCCGTTCAAACCATTCTAAGAAGTCCTCAGATATCTCATTCATCACCATTATTAAAGCCTGTAGTCCCTTTTTTTCTTTGTTCTGTCAAGCCACATATTCATCCGGATTATACAAGAGTTAGACCAATTTCATTCCGTCTCAGGGCACCTGCTAGACCTTTGTGTTTTCCTCATCAACAGATGTTCTTTGGTCTACCAAGACCTTCTCTTTGTGGAAAATAGTGATAGATCTCCTTTTTTATTTTGTCTCCTCTTTATCACCCACTACTGGATAGCTGCCTCTTTTCAGCTTTAATAGGGCGTTATATTGTCTCAAAGAGGCTCCCTCGAAACTGTTTAGAGAAATTTTTAGCAGGAGTTGATGATGCAGTGGGGTTTCCCATGAGTGAGTGATTACTCTTTTGTCCAAACTTACTATATTATTATAAAACCTTACTACATTATTATATCTAGAATTCAGTCATGTTTAAGAAAAAAGTGATAGCAATATTGTGCATGCTGAGGATATGCAATTAGTGGTGTGGCTAGATGGCAATTTCTCAGCAAAATGTTCAACTTCAATCTCAATTGCACATAATTGAAATGAGTCATCCCTGGTTGTTTATAGGGCTTGAAGGTTGTTTGGCCTCTCATGGTTATATACTTCCACATCATAACTATGCCCATTACAATCCATTGGAGGTAAATGGGTAGTCATTGCACATTTTAGTGCTTAATCTCTTTCTTTCTTATTTAGGCTTTCTTGTGTCTATTTGAGAATAATTCATGATTTTTGTTCATTTCCTATGCCTTTCATTATTCCCCTCCTCAGATCATCAACAAGTACTAGAGGCTTTAATGGCACTCCAGCTGAGACTTGTTTCCAGCATCCTGTTACCTAATCACAATGGAAGGAGCATTCAGTATATTTTTTTAGAAGCACCCAGCAATGGAATTTCTGACTTCTTCAATGTATGGGGCAACCATCCATTAAATGAATGAGATATTCCAAGCATTACCAATCCAAGGTTGAAGATATCTACAAATAAGAGTTGGTGAAAGCTTTACTACAGAAATATAGGCACTTGGGAATAAATATGTGGCATATCCATCATGTCCCATCAGAAGTTGGGATTGTTGAAGGAAATATTGGTTTAAAGTAAATTATCCTTTGACTAAGAATAGTTAAATAGATTATTCTTCAAAGATGGATTCCAGGACCTTGCTCTTTCTTTTGTCGATACATAGTCTATTGTTCCTCTTCCACTAGGAGCGACAATTATATATGCTTTGACAAGTATTCTTAGGACTGCTTAATCTATCTCAGGCTTGGGAGGCACACTCACATGTAGATAAATCAAGAACTAGTCTGCTCTCAGAAAATCAGAGTAGCCAGTGTGTCATTACAATTATAAACAATTTATTTAACTCTACTTGCATAAAAGAGAAATGTCATTTCAAACTAGCCTTCTTAGGAAATTTGAATCCTGTCATACCCAATGTGGGAGTCATAGTAGCATCGCTTTCGATGATTACAGAATGTCCAACTCTATCTGGTGCATGTCTTGCTGTCTATGTGACAGTATATCTTTCATAGACATGGGAAACTCTAGTCAACATGATCTAAAAGGAAGTTTATTGAGGCTAGGATTGAAGACTTGATCTGCAGCACTGCCCTCTAATGCAGATCCCATGCCTCCAAAATCAGTCCTATCATTCAATAATCAGCAGCCTTTCCCAACTGATTTTCCTGTTATTCATCATTGCATAGTATGCAGGAGCTCATTTCGGGGTCTTTGCCGTGGCCAAACTCAAAGGGGACAATTCATGCCAGATAAGTGAAACTTGTATGTGACTCCAAGTGACTAACGTTGGATTCGAAGAACTGAATCCAACATGTGGCATTAAATTTACTGAATAAATAGAGAAATAGACTTTTATGAATGATACATCAATATTCCGTCTAATTTAGAGGTAACGGGAGCAGAATACTCTACATTGCATGCTAAAAACTATGACATGCCTCTTATTTGTATTCCAAAGCAGGCCAAATGCACGCAAAGAACTAAGTACTTTCCACCCTGATGGCCATTTTGATAGCCTCAAGTTCATAATAGAAAGACTCCAACTCGTCACCATTGGAGCTGCATGTTTTGCAAATTCCATGTGCTCTGGTATGGCTTGCCTGTCATCTACATGCCTGGTTTGGTAGAGTACGAATTCTCTCTCTCTCCCTCTCTCTCTCACATTGGGGATGCTGCCTTTGAAATTTTAAGTCTATGAGCAGCAATATGATAATAATACTCCGATACATCCCAAATGTCATAGTCTGTCTTTAAGGCATGCCATTTTACAAGCTATGCCACAGTAATCTTAAGATTGAATGCAGTATTAATTTTGTAGAAGTTCGCATCTCTTTTGTGAGTTTAATTTTCTACTCACCATTAAAATCCCTAGTGAATCAGTTCCATGAAGGAACAGAACAGGAGTTGCCTCAAAACACAATTAGTTCCAGAAAATTTGCATGAGGAAACAAAAGGCAGACAATGGAAAAGTTGGGCCGGAATTTATTGCCTGTCACAGATTTCAAATTAAAAGAGCTTTTTTAAGGTCGCACTATTTGCAAATAATGTGTTATCCAGACTGGTCATGGAAAGGAAAAAAAATGGCGTAATTGTTAGTACTGGAATACCACTTTCTTGATACTGTCAGCAGATTTTGTCATCTCCTCCTCCGTATAAACCCAGCAATCTCCTAAAGAGAATTTACTACCTCTCTTAAGTCACCGAATGGTTATTGACTGTGATATGTTAGTTTCAAATGTATAAATATTAATGTTAGTTTTCAACTTTTCATAATGTTATGCTAATTTGTTTTGATTAGTGAGATTTAAGGTGCTTCTTAATATAATGTTACCCTTTTTATCTATTCTCTGATAGTTGCTTTGCCTAGATCAGAGATATAAACCTTGCATACTCTCTGTTATTAAGTTTACCTGAATTATTGTCAATTTTGTTATCAGTATTCTAACTTCCATGACATTTTGGTTAATGGTTTCCAGATAAATGTTACCGAGTGCAATGCATATTTTCTTCTGATTAGTGGGATTTGATCTTGAACTAGTGTTGGATCACATACTATATGATGATATTTGCAGCTTTTGCTAGAACACTAGAGCGAAATGGTTCATCTGAGGACGAGGTTGATGCTATTGATAATGGTATTGATCCACTAGCGGAAGACAGAGAGCTAAAAGGCCAACTGTTACGCAAGTATAGTGGATACTTTGGCAGCCTAAAGCAGGAATTCTTGAAGAAGAGAAAGAAAGGGAAGCTCCCAAAGGAAGCAAGGCAACAACTACTTGACTGGTGGGGTAGACATTACAAATGGCCATATCCATCGGTACTATTCCATATCTCTCTATGAAAGACATGCCATTTTAATTAAGAAAACTTAGGGAAGTTACATATTGTGCACCATACTCTCTATCTGCTTATTTAAATATATAAGCCCTTTGTCATTTTGTAAATGAGGAAATAGAGAGGGCTTATCTGGATCCTGCCTCAAAACATGTTTTGCTATGATGGGGTGGCATGTTAGGTGATGGTGAGTTTGGGGTTGAATGGCTCCTTTATTGCTGCTTTAGAATCCCATTTAGGTGTATGCGTACTAAAAAATTGTAGCTTTCTTACTAGTGAGACGAAAACAGAAAAATGCCATTTTTAAACCGACCTGCCAAAGGATACAATTTTGTTGGAGGGCTAAACAGATATTCGACACTGTGGAGATAAAGCTATTGAAATTTATGGTCCATTGCCTGGTGGGTGAAGCCCGTTGGTATTGATTTTAATCCCCATATCAGGACTGTGAATGTATGGTATAATCCAACTAACCAAATAAATGCCGTGGTCAAACAAAAACCAGAAGAAACTGAGACCTACTGGAACAGGTAAAGACCCCAATGGTGGATTCCTTATTCTCTATCCCTGGTCTTTTTTTGACTATGTAAGCCCAGTATTTGCCGGTCTCTCCATGTGTTGGTTCTCTAGAAAAATTTACAATATTATTCTACATGACCTGAGGGACCGGCGCTGAAGGCACAAAAAAACAGTAAATGCTTGTGGCATGGCAGGTCATTCTAACCCATCACACATGGTCGATGCATCATCATCATCGTTGAAGTTTTTCCCAACCAATTGGGGACGGCGAACATGGTGGATGCATGTGTTAAAGTAAATCTACAATGAACTGCAGCAAGCTTTCTCAGGAAGGAAGTGGATGGATGCAAGTGATGCGTAAATCTACGGTAAACTACCGCTAGTTTTCTCAGGAAGTTAGGGATGGAGATCCATCTCTCTCCCTATTTTTGTAGAGAGGGGGATGCTGCACCGATGTTGGCCATAAGGTCTTCTGCCTTCCCGGTAGTGTAAAAGAAATGGTGTCCTAAAAATGCTTCATTGTCCATTCGAACTGAACGGAGGGTGATCGAGTACATCTTCCCAATAGACCATTGAATAGGTTTCCTTGTCAAGTGAAAGAGGAGACCTAGAAGGAGATACCATAATAATCTCAAGAAGAAATTGTCGGCTTTTCAATTACTGCATTGACTAGTGAAATGGCAATAAGAGAAATCCATTTCCTGCATAATTATTTCACTTTGGAAAGTTTTGAAAGTACCCTTTCTTCTCTTCCATGGGTGTGTATGGGAACACAGCAAAGCATAACTTCTTGTTATATAATTATTATTATTGCAGGAGTCTCAAAAGCTGGCCCTTGCTGAATCAACAGGCCTTGATCAGAAGCAGATAAACAACTGGTTCATCAACCAGAGGAAAAGGCATTGGAAGCCATCTGAGGAGATGCAGTTTGTGGTCATGGATGCCTCTCAGCCTACTCATTATTACATGGATGATAACCTTCTTCATTTCCCCATGGATTGCACCTCCACCCTTCTCTGAATTATAATTCCTTTCTTCTTTAACTAATTATTATGCCTCACTTTGTTGTGCTTGCTTCCCCCTTGCCTTAAACCTAGACTTCCATCAGGTTGCTTGCTTTGTTGGAGTTTGGATACTTTGGTATTTAGTGCATTAGAATCCCGTGGCCTGATATTACTGCACTGGGCATCTGTAGGGCTTCCTGACCAATCAGAGAGAGAGGATAAAAGTAGTAGGGCTGAACTATTGGAAATTAATTTAATGTTTTGAAAAGGGCATTTGTGGGTTAGGGTTCTTCTAGGATTCCATAGCATGGGATTAAGAAATTAGAAAAATAAAATCTGGAAGAGGGTTTGGCAATGAAATAAATTTGTGGGGAATCGTGTGTTGATTTGGGTTATAAAATGATGGGTTTGAAAATTAAACGACAATCATGCTTTAAAAATTAATTAGTGAGAAATAAATTTGTTAGAAAGTGCTGGTAGAGGCATTTCTGTTCGTACTTTTGAAAAATACTATGCAGGATTTTAAAATAATATATTTCTAGTGTTGTTTTCGTAAGTTTTTAATTACGAGAGAGAGATGGTGGTTAGTTTTAATCCCACATTGATCAAGAAGTGAAAAAATAGTGGTATTTATATGAAAACAATTGTGTCTCGCATTTATGGAACTAGAGGTGTGGGGTGGAGTACGCAAAGTGTGTGCAAAATGCTGAAGACGTGCAAAAAAGCTTTTAGACGCACTTGCACTTTGCTAAAATCGGTGCAAAGGCGCCAATGTAGGGGTATGGGTCAAGCTCGCAGCTCGCCCCATTTTTTATGAAACTGTTGGTTTCCAAACATTCAGAGAACATGGTGAACACACTTTTACAAACGTAATTCTCTCTCTCCATGTTTCTCTACCTTCTCTCTTAAAAATGCGCACTCTCTCTCTCTACTTTGAGACAACTCAGGTGCTCTTGAATTCCATATAAAAATAAGCGGGTTTTTCTATCGAGTTTTGTTTTATGGTATCTGGAGGGCTGTTTTGCTTTGCCTACCTTTTTACACAAGATTTTAATAGCAAGATGACAAATTACAGTCTTAAGATACCGCTTTTAACTTGGTTGAAAACAAGGTCTTCATTTTTCATAAAAATTCTTCACTAAAATTTTATAGCCCCATTTAATGTGCCCAAATTTGCAACGTTTTACTATGGACAATAAGAGCAGTAGCCTTGCATTTTAATTTTAGGTTTTCTTTTTTTTTTTTTAATAGGAAATTTATCAGAATGTGCGTAAAAAGTAAACTGATTAGTAATTTACATATTATTTCCAATTTAGTTTGAAAACATCATCCTAATACTCAAGATCAGGGGTAATTGAAAATGGGTAAAATATTAAATAGTTGACAAGTGAAGTGTAAACTATTGATAAACTTTCCATATTAAGGTGTATGGTTTGTGATTATGATTTCGGGGAGAAGGGGGCAGTTGGGTTTGAGTTCAAATAAATGTTGATTTTCAATCGATTTTCTAAAAGTCCTTTGTTCAGCATCAGAAACGAATAACTTAGATTTTCAAAGAAAGATCTGTGCTTGGGGTTTGCTAATACTGAACAAGAGGGGCATAACAATAATTTTGCTTGAGCAACTTGGAGAGGATATTGCACATTATTTGTTGATGTGTAAGCCCATTTTGGGTTGTTGCATGCATGAAAGAAAACTTTGAACTTGAATGAGTTCTAGTACCAATGCATAGAAAATTTATAGTTTGATGTTTGTAATTATATTGTGTAGATTTCTTTTAGAGTAAATTAAGATTTTTGGAGAGGTAAAATTGTAGAGATATCTAGAGAGAGAGATTTGTAGTCACTCCTAGAGAAAAGAGGAGTGCAGATACTCCTAGAGAGAGAGTGTGGTCTATAAATATGATGGACCTATGTTGTGTTGTGTAAGACAGAAGCGTAAGAGTGAGATAAGTTTAGAGAAAAGTTGTACTCAATTGTCATTTATTAAAATGGAGGATTGAAAATTCATCAAGCCAAACTTTGGATGACCCCGCGTCGACTTGTGACCAATGGGGGCCAACCCAACTTACCACTCTATTATTGGAAATATGGTCTATCAAGCTCTTTTCTCTTGGGAATTTATTGTTTAACAATGGTACAAAAGCCATATTGTATAGTATATGTAAAATCCTATATGTTTGAAATAAGGCAATGCTATCTACTAGAATCCATTTTGGAGTTTTTATAAGATGTTGCACTAGAGGGAAAACCCAGTATCACTAGAGAGAAAACCCAGTGGTGTGTTTGGATTCTTTGTAAGAATTGTTTTTATATATTATAAATGTACAAAATTATTTAATTTTTAATTATTTTTTATCAAATTGGAGGCAGTTTGGTGACAACATCCTAATTAGCAGCGCTTAAAAGGATTAAGGCAGGAGTTATATTTCGATCTCAACTCCTATAGACCATGAATGTGAGAGTTACAGACCAAATGGTAATCTATAAAAAGAGGTTAGCACCTCAAGAGAAAGAGAAAGAGAAAGAGAAAGAGAAGGATGGAAAATGAGTGAATGAGATCCACCAAAGAGGAATCCCAAGGTAGTATGTTACTGGATGGCTTGGTCTATAAGTTTTGATATGGAACCTTAAATCCCTCAAGTGATTTAGGGATAGATCCGAGTACGTTGTTTATCTGTTTTATTTATTTATTTGTTGATACTTGTTTTATTGGGACTAACAATGGTATCGGAGCTATGGGACAAACATCAATATGGATTTATCTCTTTTCTTTCTTTATTTTTTCCTTTTTATCAATGTTTTTTCCTTTTTTATCAACGACTCAGCCCCTTTCTCGGTAAAGAGGTCTTCTTGTCGTCTCTATCACTCTCTTTACCAAAAGGAGATTGATTATTGTGAGACACAAGACAGCTTAAAGCAAACCATCATTATAGATCATAGCATCAATCGCAACCTCCAAAAATGTATTTTCTTTTTTTCTATAGAGAACAAATTCTAGTCAGGCATTTTGAGATTCACCAAAACACAACATAAAACATTTGCTTTCTACCAAAAGCTTCTTTTTTTTATATATAATAAATAAACCCATTTATCTAAATGTGATTTGAGTTTCGACCCTCTCTCTCTCTCAATCAATCCCTTTCTGTCCAAAATCAGCCTCTCTTTCTTCTACTTTTACCAATTAATCTCTCTCCCACTCTCTCTTTGGTATAACTATACATGTTAAATGGAAAAACTTCCTTCTATACATGTTAAATGGAAAAACTTCCTTGCTTTTCATAACTTTGAGAGAAATGTGTATAGAGGTTTACATGGTTGTAATCCCAACATCATAGGGATCTATAATACGCTTTCAACTTGTAGACTTGGCATAAAACAATTTATCAAGATAAAAGATAAGATAAAAGATATATATGATTCTATTTACTAGGGGTACATCTAATACTCCCCCTCAAGTTGGAGCGTGAATATTTAAGAACACCTAGCTTGCGAATCAGAGCATTGATAAATCTAACCGACTCTAATGAATCTCTCTTTGTGTCATTTGAGCAGATTTATGAAAAAATACAAATTTATATCCTCTCAAAAATTCCCAAAAATAGGATTTTGGTTTTTCAGATGCAGTGTTTTTTAAAATTTCAAAAAAACTAGCTTTTTTTTTTTTAATCAATCTCATGCTCCATGGGTTTGAAACTAGAGGGATACCCGTTTGGTACCATAGCCCATTTTTTGAATACCAATTTTCAATGGACAAAGTCAATTATAAGTTGTTAACTTTGAACAAATAAGGGTACAATTGTTATTTTGCTCCAACCACGTAATATGATAGCAATTGATGATAATAATACCTTTTCCTGGGGTATGTCCGTATGGGAGAAGGCCCCGTACTCATTTTCATGAATAAGAATAGAGGAATACAGATCATATCTTTACAACCCCATAGTAGGACAGTTGTGCCAAATCATGAAGATAAGGAAAGAAAATCTAGCAGTCTAGTGCACCAAATTGTAGAATCAAAGAAAGATGTTGCCTTCTTGACAAGTGTATCTGCTACCATGTTGGCATCTTGATAGATGTGGAAAATGGTCTAGCTACGATTTGAGAGGGGTTGTTAGCAATATGGATACCGAATTGATTATACATGTCATGTTTAGGATTGGGAACTCAAAATATGGATATTGAATTAAATAAAAAAGTTCAAAGTTCCCAAACATGAACAACAATGTTGAATTGTCGTTTTGCGCAGGTTAGTCAAAATGACAATTAGAGACTTAGAACCGGCAAAAACAATGAGTTATCAATCTCCTAACCTATCTTCAACATTTGGGGGTAATTTGCTTGTGCATAATGACTAAATTAGCCCTTTCGCTCATATTTAGGAACCCAAAACAACCATTTCAAATAAAAAAAAAAGTTCCAAGTACCTAAACCCAAACAATTCATTTCATTTGTCATTTGGCTCTATTAGCCTGAGGTAAATGATGTAAATATCCATCATTCTTTTGGTTTAGGATCGCTAAATAAGAGATTTGCATATAATTAATATGTTTTGAATACGAAGTTTGATCCACTCACGTAAGGCTATGTGATGATTTAGATATATTTAATCGTTTTAATGATATTTTTGATGCACCTTTTTCGCCCATGCGAATAAAAGAGGAGGCGGTTGCAGCCATAGCTTGTAGGCACCAGATATGCCCTAGGGACTACAGAATGGAATAAGCCCAGATTTTTAAGAGTCACTGTAAGGACATCATCTCGGCCCCAAAAGATTCACAAAGTGGCCTTTGATACCCTGAAATCATTTCCCAAATTTCACCCCAATCAAGTAAAGGTGGGAAAAGACAGTAAAAAGATACAGATAGGAGTATTGTACTTTATGTGTGTGCGGTGTACACCATAGAAAAACTCCATGAAGATGATCTCAAATGGACTCCAGACTATCGTAGACAGCTTTAGAAGGCCAGAAAAACCCCTGACTACCAAATTTCATGCCAAACGGGCCTTTCTAGGTCCCACTTTCCTAAAATAGGTTGGTCATTTGCTATTCAAGTACGGGGAACCAAAACCAGTTTTGTAAAATAGTAAAAAACCGATACCCTTTTCTAAAAACGGGGCAAACTTTGCCACACTCGTATCTCATGTTCCATAAGGCAGATCAAGCCCAATCGAAAATGTCGTGCTCCTCGACGAGTAGGAAATTTTTTACATACACCACAGATGAAGCCAACAACCAGAGAGAAAGAAATCTTAGAGAGAAGTTCGT